TACCTGACAGAATCTCCGCAGAGCCCGCTGGTTTGTCAGTTTATACTTCCAGGTAAGGTACCAGCTCCGCTTCTTCCGAGCCCCAAAGGGCTTGATGAGGGGGCTGGGCTTCCAGTCGTCCATGCCGGATTGGCGGGTCACCAATGTCCTGGGCAGCCCATGACTTCAGGAATCTGATGGGATCAGAGGGCCACATAGGGTAAGGTGGCCCTCCCAAAGTCTGATGCCTTCTGGAGAGATGAGGGAGGACCTCCCAGCAAGTCTTCCCTGCAAGCACCCATACTGTGTGACATGGGGAAAGTGGTTCAACTTCTCTGGGCCTGACAAGAAACCCTTCAAAGGGGTTGGATAACCTGGAAATTCCCTGAGACTGGAGTAACTCTCTGAATCAAGGCTGTCCAAGGGTAGAGGCCAAATAATCTGCTCAAAGTTCATTAGCCCCTACAAGGCCCAAGCCCCTGGCCTCCCCAAGCCTGTGGTGGGCAAAGAGCGATCTCTCCTGCCCCAATCCTCCACCCTCATCCCATCCTAGCTGGCCCAGCTTCTCTCCTCCCAGGGCCCGCAGCCGCCCGAGGGCTGGGGAGACCTGCACCGTCAGCGCTACCCTTCCCGGACCCCCACGCGGAGGCACTCACAGCTTAGGGGCCCCGAGCCCCGCTCGGGCCCAGCTCGGGCCCGCACTGCTCGGCCCTGCGCGCCGGCGGCCTCCGCCTCCTCCATGCCGCTCGCGGCCCCGCCCCGGCCCGGCGCGCCCCCCCGCTTCCGCCGCCGCCGCCGCCGCCGCCGCTGCCGCGAGGTGAGAGGGCGACGGGCGGCGCTTAGGGCAGCGGCGGCGGCGGCGGCGGCAGCGGCGGGGTGTCCGCAGCCAGGGAGTAAGGAGAGTGCTCAGACCTTGCTCCGCAGCTTCGCAGCCCGCCTGGCGGGTGCTGCTGCCTGCACGAGAGCAGCCCGCTCCCCCGCACCGCTGATGGCAAACCCAACTCCAGTCAGAGGCCTAGGACCTTAGACCTAGATCACAGGGCACCCCAGGGTCAGGGGGGCTGCAAGCCTTGGGCACAGCACACACACCACCCGCCCCATACCCCTCCTGGGCAAGGCCGGTACCTGGGCCTGGGGCATGCACAGCCATTGCAGGCCAAGGGAGATTAAAATCCAGGTTCTGCCGCTGTGCTAAGCAGTTTACTGATGACGTTTAATTCCACAGCAACCCCATGAGGTAGGCGCTATTATCGTTATTTCTTTTTTTTTTTTTTTTTTTAATTGAGACCGAGTCTCGCTCTGTTGCCCAGGCTGGACTGCAGTGGCACCATCTTGGCTCAGTGCAGCGTCCGCCTCCTGGGTTCAAGCGATTCTCCTGCTTCAGCCTCCTGAGTAGCTGGAACTATGGGCGTGCACCACCGCACTCGGCTAATTTTTGTATTTTTAGTAGGGGCGGGTTTCACCATGTTGGCCAGGCTGGGTCTGGAACCCCCGACCTCAGGTGATCTGCCGGCCTCGGCCTCCCACAGTGCTGGGATTACAGCCGTGAGCCACTGCGGCGGCTATAGGCGCTATTATTATCCCTGTCACAGATAAAGAAATGAGACCCAGTGTCACAAAGCTGGGAGAGGTGGAATTGAAACCCAGCCTGGCTCCAGATTCTTCTCTTAACCACTCACTGCACTCTACTGGCAACAATACTTAAGAGTTGCCAGATTTAAATAACATCATACATAGAAAGCACTTAGCTTAACACAATGGTTCTCAAACTTTAGATTGCATCAGAATCACCTGGACGACTTCCTTAAAACAGAGGTGCTGGGCCAGTCCCTAGAGTTTTAGATTTTGTGGTCTAGGGCAGGGTGGGATTTTGCATTCCTAACAAGTTTCTACCTGATGTTGATGTTTGTTTGAAGTCAGTGGGTAGCCATAGAACAGTTTTAAGCAGGGGAGAAATATAATTCCATTTATATTTCAAGAGAACCTTTACTTTATTCGTGGAGAATGGTTTGAAAGGAGACGCAGGAAGCCAGAAGACCAGTTAGATTTTTTTTGAGCTTTCCATATTCCATCTGCTTCCTGAGTGGTGGGGTGATATCCCCCACAATGTTAACAGTACTTGTCTTAGGAGTTAAAGAAATAGATGATTTTTCCTAGTTAAGTATGTATAAGAATAGAAAAAACCCAACACATTTTATTAGCATTTGAAAAAGATGTGCTGGCTGGGCACAGTGGGTGAGATGGCTCATACCTGTAATCCCAGCAGTTTGGGAGGCTGAGGTGGGCTGGTTACTTGAGGTCAGGAGTTTGAGACCAGCCTAGCCAACATGGTGAAACCTGTCTCTACTAAAAATACAAAAGTTAGCTTGGTGTGGTGGCGGGCTCTGTAATCCCAGCTACTCAGGAGACTGAGGCAGGAGAATCGCTTGAACCCAGGAGGCAGAAATTGCAGTTGAGATCACACTCAACTGGGTGACAGAGCAGTAGTCTGTCTCAAAAAATTAAATTAATTAATTAATTAAAAGATGTCCCTTAGGGTTTCTTCCTGACCCTCTTTTCTCCTTAAACTCACTCTTCATGGATGATGTCATTCTCTCATGACCTCTGTTACCAATCTAGATTCCCAAACTGACATTGGCAGTTCTAACCTCTTTCCTGAGCTCCAGGCTGCCTGATATCCAGCAGGGCATCTTCACAGCCCCCTCTAACACACCAGCATGACTGCTGGAATCATTTCCTTTTACTCCTAGATCTCTCGAGGGTTCCCCTCCTCAGTGAACTGCACCAGGCCAAAGAGCTGGGAGTCACCTTGACTTCTTGTCTGTCTCCAGTGACCAGACCAGGTATGTCTTCCTCACCATTGTATTATCTACACCACACACAAAGGCTGGCACATAGTAAGCTCTCCATAACATTTGTTGAAATCATTCATTTGTATTTTTAAACAAATTTTTATTTAATGCAACTATAAATGAATGTAGACAGTCACCCAGTCCTGTCAGTCTTACCTCTTGAAGAGCCTTCCATTCTAGTCTAATTCTTCTCCAGCCTCACAATCAGCCCCTGGTGTAGGCCATTTCAGTTTCTTGCTTTCTAACCAGTCTCCTTGACTCTAGATTTTTACTCCTCCCATTCATTTCTCCTTGCAAAATCCAGAATGATCTTTTTTTTTTAAAGGCAAATGTTGCTGGGTGCAGTGGCTCATGTCTGTAATTCCAGCACTTTGGGAGGCCAAGGCAGGCAGATCAACTGAGGTCAGGAGTTTGAAACTCACCTGGCCAACATGGTGAAACCCCATCTCTACTAAAAATACAGAAATTAGCTGGATGTGGTGGAAGGCTGCTTGGTAGGCTGGGGCAGGAAAATGGCTTGAACCAGGAGGCAGAGGTTGCAGTGAGCTGAGATCATGCCACTGCACCCCAGCCTGGGTGACACAGTGAGACTCTGTCTCAGAAAAAAAAAAAAAAAAAAAAAAATTATATATATATATAGCCAACGGCGGAAAGGAACTACAGAGTGTGAGTGAAATCCATATATCCACATTTATCTGAATAGGATAATAAAGAGCAGATGAATATTTAAAATTGAGAAGTAGTGTGGTTGGACATGGTGGTGCACTCCTATAGTCATAGCTGCTTGGGAGGCAGGAGGAGTGCTTGAGCCCAGGGGTTTGAGTCCAGCCTGGGTAATATAACAAGACCCTGTCTCTAAAAAAGGAAAAAAAGCATTGGTAGGATATACAATGAGAAGATAGTTACTCCTACCCTACCCTTTCGCACCTCTAGGCCCACTCCCAATTGGCAACCACTTTTAGTTAACTCTAAACACTAAAGTTATGGATATGAACACCCCCCACCAAAATAAATAAATAACTGAAAGTTATTTTTGCCAATTGGGAATGGGCCTAGAGGTATGAAAGGGTAGGGCAGGAGTAACTCTCTTCTCATTGTAAATCCTTCTGCAACCATGGACTGGAATTTCTTGAATTAAAAGACCAAACAAACCAAAGTTTTCATGGCTGTTCATTGCCTGTTAAATAAAACCCAAACATCTCAGAACCATCTTCTGTAACCTTATTACTCAAAGTGTGGTCCCTTATTACTTGAAGGGACCATACTTCATGATGACCAGCAGCATGACCATCACCTGAGAGCTTATTAGAAATGCAGGATCTTGGCCAGGTGCAGTGTCACACACCTGTAATCCCAGCACTTTGGGTGTCTGAGGCAGGTGGATCATTTGAGGTCAGGAGTTCAAGACCAGCCTGGCCAACATGGTGAAAACCTGTCTCTACTAAAAATGCAAAAAAATTAGTCAGGTGCAGTTGCATGCCTGCAATCCCAGCTACCTGGGAGGCAGAGGCAGGAGAATCGCTTGAATCCAGGGAGGCAGAAGTTGCAGTGAGCCAAGATCACGCCACTGCACTCCAGCCTGAGTGACAGAGCCAGACTCCGTCTCAAAAAAAAAAAAAAAAAAAAAAAAGAAAAGAAAAGAAAAGAAAAAAATGCAGGATCTCAAGCCCCACCCCAAATTTACAAAATCAGAATCTTCATTTTAACAAGATCCTCAGATAATTCATATGCAGTCAAGCTTAAGGAGTATCTTGCTTGTAAGCCCAGTGTGGACCTCTTCAGCTTCGGTATTGGTTGCCCCTTTCTACTCCGTTAATCTGAATTCTAGCCCCTGCGGTGTGTGTGTGTCTGGCTAAAATCCAGCCGGCGTTTTAGAGCCAGTTCCTCTGCTCCAGGAAGACTTCCAAGCCCTCTGCAGCTCTCTGTTACCACTGTTCCTTAAACTCCCACATCTCTGACTGACTGAAGCTGCCTAGGCTTCATTCTGCAAACATGTATTGGGCGCCTGCTGTGTGCCTGGCTGGATTCAGTGCCAGGATGGGGTGAAGGCGCTGAAGTCTCCGAGTGCTCTTTCAGGTTCAAATCCAGAATCGCCCAGCCCCACGCAATCCGGGGCCAGAGGTTGTGTGCGCAGCACTCAAATATATATCTACAGGCGGTGCTGCGCGGCTTTTCTGAGTGTTACGGTGCCCTCCTCCCGCCCCCAAGTCGCGCGGGCGGGGACCCACCAGTTCTGCTCCGCATTAGCTTCGGCGAAGGGAGGACCCCCGGGAGCTAGTCCCGGGCGTCCAGTCGCCCAGCCCTTTACAGGCTTGGGCCCGCATGGAGGGGACCGTGGAGTCCCAGACGCCTGATCTGCGGGATGTAGAGGGTAAGGTGGGCAGGAAGACCCCTGAAGGGCTGCTCCGTGGGCTGCGAGGCGAGTGTGAGCTGGGAACCTCTGGCGCCCTGCTGCTCCCAGGGGCGCCTAGCACCGGCCACGGCTTGGGGGACAAGATCACGGCGCTGAAGATGGAGCTGGTGAGTGCAGACTCCATGGACCAAGGGGACAAGTCCCCAGTGTAGGGCCGGGAGGGACAAACTCACGCTCCCAAGTTAGGCTGGAGAGGAGGTGGTTAAAACTCTCCATCTAACTGCTCAGAATCCCTCCCAGATCAATCCGTAAGCGCTGGGGTGGAGGTGGAGTGACGTCCATTAATTGTTCCCCAAAGAGTGAGTGGGGTGTTGATGGGTCCTGAGGACTTGGGGTGGGAGACAGTGGTTCTTGGAAGTTATTCCTGCCAAATAATTGGGAGGAGAGAGATGAGGACTGGGAACTACCGAGAACCAAACGCAGCACAAATTTCCCCCGCCCATCTGGGCCATCTATTCCTCGCCAGTCCCCGTTGTAAGACAACCAGTTTTTTCTTCTGCTAACCGGGAAAGGGTTTAGTTTCTGTGAGGCCGCAGTGTTCAGCACAGGGTTAAGGGGTATATCTGCTGAAAACTACCTGGACTAGGGGCGCTGAAAACCTCCTCCGTTTCTCCTGCATCTCCCAGCCCTACTTAAAATAATGGAAAGTTCTTAAACCTATAGCAGGGACACAGAGTAGCAGCACCATTGGTGCCAATTGCTTCACCTCAGACTCAGTCTCCTCCCAGCCAATCTCCCAGGTAAACTGGATATTTGGATCTTGTCTGTACATTCTTAAAGAGAAAAGGAAGCAGCAACCCTCTGCTTTCTCCGTTTCTGCTGGTCTAGATTCAGAGCCAAAAGGGCAGCTGGGGCCCTGGCAGGCTCCCCAGAGCCCTGATTCCGGTGAAGTAGGTGATTTACACCTGCCACTACTTTGCATCCAGCTCTGGGGAACTGAGGAATTGCCCAATATTGGCTCCCTGGCTCACAACCAGGAGCCCACAGTGAAGTTCCTCAGCTGATAAGTCTTCCTGGAACCCCACTGTGTGCCCAGCCTGTGCCAAGCTGGTCTGTGAAGGATCAGAAGAAGGAAGTCATGGAGGCTCTGAGCCCAGCAAGGGCTCTGATGCCTGATCTGAGAGTCTGGGAGGAGAGTCTGGTGGGTGGAGCAGTGAGGGAAAGCCCCTCTGGGAGAAGGACTTGAATGCCAAGTGTGCACTTGGCCTTGAAGGTTGGAGGTGAGTGCCAAATTCTCCAGAGCAAGGCTGTGACTGTACCTACCTAAGGGGGGACAGTGGGCTTGGCTTTGCCTCACTGTACAAACTTTAGCTGAAGGCCCTGTCTAGACTGTAGTTGCTTTGAAAACTAACTTTCACCCAGCACATGTGCCAGGCAGATTGCTGAGCACTTTACATGATACTGTCTTCATCTCCACAGTAACCCTGTTAAGTAAGTGATATTTTATAGATGAAGAAACTGAGGCACAGGGTAGGCATGGTGGCTCACGCCTGTAATACCAACATATTGGGAGACCGAGGCAGGCAGATTGCTTGAGCCCAGGAGTTTGAGACCAGCCTGGGCCACGAAGTGAGACCCTGTATCTACCAAAAATACAAAAATTAGATGGGCATTGTGGTGCATGCCTATAGTCCCAGCTACTCTGGAGGCAGAGTCAGGAGGATTGCTTGAACCCAGAAGGAGGAGGAGGCTGCAGTGAGCTGAAGTCACACCACTGCACTCCGGCTTGGGTGACAGAGCTCAGAGCTAGACTCTGTCTCAAAAAAAAGAAAAGGAAGGAGGGAAGGAAGAGAGGATGGAAGGGAGGAAAAAAGAAAAAAGAAAAGAAAAAGTAGAGGCACAGGGAATTTAAGTGACTACCCACAATCATGTAAAAAGCAGGATCAGGATTTGAACCCAGATCTTTAGACTGCACTTTACATCTTTACCTTTGAGACCTACTTTGTGCCAGATATTCTAAACACATTTTATGTCATGGAAATGAGAAAACTGGCCATCATTTCTCCCATCTTGCAGATGAAACATGCTTGCAGATTTTGGGGCTTTGTCTGAACTCACATAGGGAGTCAGTGGAAGAGCCACGCCTAGTCTCTCTGGCTCTAACTCTTTTCTGCCTTGGTGGAAACTATCTGTAAACTTTAAGGGGCTGCATTTAACTTCTGATTTTGTTCTGTATTTTTGACCCGGCTTGCCTGGGGCCTGAGGCTGCCTAAGAAGGGATACATAGGAGGGAGCCTTCTGGGACCAGAACAAGGAGAGATCCCCACCCTATTTCTTCTCCCTCCTCAGGCCAGGATGTTATTAATATTAATCTCCTTCTGTGCTCTGCCCTGCCTACTGGGTTGCACCCAGGAAGGACAAGGGGTGGGGCAGACGGTTTTCCTTGGAGTCACTGAAGGCAGGCCTGGTTCAAGTCCTCTAAGGCTGTCCTTCAATTGTTCCTCTTCCAGCTCTCCTTGCAGGGAGGCAGGCGGAAGGCCTACCCTTGAGGCCAAGGTCAGTCCTGCCTCTAGGCCTCTTCCCTCCTGCTTTCTTCCTCTACCCCCCATTCAAAGGTTGAGTGAACAAGCCAGACTGGGATATGTGGGAATGGGAAACAGTGGCAACTCTTCTTACTTCTCCCACCCAAAGAACTGTTGCTATGACAACCCGCCTCTACAGAGGCAGTTTGAGAAATAGCTTTAGGCAAGGAAGGAGAAGGCATGGGTTCAAGTCTTGGCTCTGCTTCTGAAACATTTTGTGGTCTTGAGCAGGACTTTGTCTTTCTCCTGGCCTCAGATTTTCTTCCTCTTAATGGAGGGAGTAAAGGGAGATGGGGATTGTGGAACCAGATGATCGTAAAAACCTTTGTAGTAACAATATTCTGATAGTCCCTGCTCTGGGAGCTAGGACTGGGTTCTCCAGGCTTTGGGGCTTAATTTGGATTGAGCAATGAGGAAACCATAAAGGACCTCAGCGCTGGGCAGAGAGTCTGATATGTAGATGTTAAGGAGAGGAGTAGGGAGCCTGAATCTCCGTGGAAGGAGAATTGGGTTTGGAGTCGCCTCTGAGGCTGCATCTCTCCTGAGCTGTTTATCCTATACTCTATTTTCTTCAAAAGATGGTGTAAAAAGAGTGTTTCTTTTTCTGGCAAGAAAGCCTTGCTTCTATTCTGGGAGTGATGCTGTCATAGGGAATCCCACTGTCAGAGGATTATAGAACCTGCTCTCAGATTTATTTCCCAGCAACACAGTACAACCCAGACCCCTGAATTCTGAGAACCTTCAAAGGGGTCAAGGATAGTAAAGGCAAGAGAATCACAGAACTGAATGTGACCTGCTTAGCCCTAAGCTGAGCACCGGAAATGGACTGGGCGGGGTCTGCTCTCAGGGAGCTCACAGGCTGGTTGGGGAAGGAGGGAGACAGATGAACATTTCTAGTACAGGATAGTAAATGCTGGTAGAACCCAGGAAGGGCCTCCTAGAATAGTCTTGACTATAGAGTGATGTGGTTGGATTTGTGGTCTGGAAAGGTGACTTCTTTTTTTTTTTTCTTTTTTTTTTTCTAGAGATGGGGTTTCACCATGTTGGCCAGGCTAGTCTTGAACTCCTGACCTCAGGTGATCCACCCACCTTGGCCTCCCAAAGTGCTAGGATTATAGATGTGAAGCACCGCGCCCGGCAGGTGACTTCAAATTGGAAGGAGGCACAAGCTATTTCCTCTGCTTGAAATGCTTCTGTCCACCTCTTTATCTGTCTGTGTCCTTTTTTTTTTTTTTGGCACAGGCATTTACTCCTATCACCCAGACTGGAGTGTAATGGCACAATCTCAGCTCACTGCAACCTCTGCCTTCTGGGCTCAAGCAATTCTCCTGCCTCACCCTCCTAGGTAGCTGGAACTATGGGCAAACACCACCACACCCAGCTAATTTTTGTATTTTTAGTAGAGATGGGGTTTTGCCATGTTGAACAGGCTGGGTTTGAACTCCTGACCTCAAGTGATCTTCTGCATCCGCCTCCCAAAGTGCTGGGATTACAGGTATGAGCCACCTCACCCATTCTGGCTGAGTCCTTAACCGTAAATTTTCACATCAGGTCCCTTATTCTAGGAAGCATTTCCTGACCTTGTTAGGCTGAGGTAGGCAGATCACTTGAGGTCAGGAGTTTGAGACCAGCCTGGCCAACACAGTGAAACCCCATTGCTACTAAAAATACAAAAAGTCGCTGGACATGGTGGCACACACCTGTAATCCCAGCTACTTGGGAGGCTGAATCAGGAGGATTGCTTGAACCTGGGAGGCGAAGTTTGAAGTGAGCCAAGAGTGTGCCACTGCACTACAGCCTGGGCGACTGAGCAAGATTTCATCTCGAAAATAAGTAAATAAGTAAGTAAATAAATAAATAAAAGGCATGGAGCCATTATGACAATAAGAATAAGAGACAAGATGACAGGAACAGAATTTAGGAAGCTGAAATGCAGAAGGAAGAGTGGCAACTAACTTGGACCTAAAAAGTGCTCATTCCCAAGTCAGCAGTAGAGAAAGCTGAAAAGCAACGCTTTTTTTTTTTTCCTTTTTGAGACGGAGTTTCACTCTTGTTACCCAGGTTGGAGTGCGATGGCACAATCTCAGCTCACTGCAACCTCTGCCTCCCAGGTTCAAGCAATTCTTCTGCCCCAGCCTCCTGAGTAGCTGGGATTACAGCCATGCGCCACCACGCCCAGCTAATTTTGTATTTTTAGTAGAGATGGTGTTTCTCCATGTTGGTCAGGCTGGTCTCCAACTCACCACTTCAGGTGATCCGCCCACCTCACCCTTCCAAAGTGTTGGGATTGCAGGCGTGAGCCACCATGCCTGGCCAGAGCAACACATTTTATGCTGCAAAAACCCTCAAAGGTCTTAGGGGTTGGAAGCACCAGATTTTTCTGGAACTGGGGGCACAAGTGGGGCTGAAAACAAAAGGGCTGGTTGAAGGTTTAAAAGTCATATTCTAAGAGCCCCTCCCTATCTGTGCAACCAGGTGCCAGCTACTTCTTTATCCAGCAGAAGACTGGAGATGTAAGTTTTGTGTTTTTTGTATTTCTTTTTTTGAGATGGAGTCTTGCTCATTGCTTAGGCTGGAGTGCAGTG